TCTATACTTAAGAGTTGTATACTTGAACAGCTTCTACTTCTGCTTCTTCTTCTTCTCCGTCTCTACACCCACTTCAACCCAGGAGCCAATATTCTCAGAGATTCTGTGGGCAACGTGAAGCTTGGAGACTTCGGGGCTAGCAAGCGACTGCAGACCATCTGCATGTCTGGCACTGGCATCCGCTCTGTCACGGGCACTCCTTATTGGATGAGTCCAGAAGTGATCAGTGGAGAGGGCTACGGAAGAAAAGCTGACATCTGGTGAGAAATAGCTTTGTGCAGCTTGTTTAGTGTAAAGGATTACTTTCTAGAAAAGGAATTTTCTGCCACAATATTTCTGAACCAGTTGGCATTTTATTAATCTTTTTTTTCCTGTGAACTATAAATGAGTTCACCAGGCTAATTTATTGTTCCCCTTTCCCCCTCTACTCTTTTTCCCATGCTTTTCAATGTGCTGTGTTCCTGGATGTTACTTTTTCTTTGCTGCACAACTTTGCTTTCTTTTGTAATAGCTCAGAAATCATCCAAGCATGCTGATGTATCCGCCACCCCCATCCTTCTGGATTTGCAATGGCTAATTCTGTCAGCACTCAACCAGCTTATTTTTGGAAGATGCTGATAAGAATTGCCATAACCTTCTGTGTAATTGCCGAGCTTAAACTTGACTGTTTTTTAAATCACTAAAGCATATTATCTTATCGAAACTTTTTCTGGATGGTTACTTTTGAAACAATATATCCCACAATATATCTCCTATATCCCTATCAGATTAAAAAAGAGAGATATTAAAACAGCAGGAACAACAACTCTTGGCTAGTGTCCTCCAAATCTCTAATTAATAAATGTGTCATGGAGTTGCAGAGGTGGACAGGAACGTTTGCTTCTTGTTTTCTCTCAGTATCCAAGCACAAAAGATTCCACGCTAAAAAAGCAGAACAGGCCATGTTTTAATAAAACAGTCTTTCGGAGCAGTAAGAAGCAGGGTGGTGATATGATTATAGCACAGAAGGGTCAGCCATAATAAATTGTTTCAGGGAATCAAGCTGATGATGATAAATAAAATTGATTTATTAAATGTAACATGCTTAAGAAGAAAAGCAAAGATTTAGAAATGTGGTAATCTCACGAATGAGAGTTGCCAAAAAGGAGGAGGACTGCATGCAATCACAGGTTGCCCATTATAAATTGTATTTTTTATATTTTTTTATATCTATTATTCCAAAAGCCTGCACGCTTTCTAGTACTATATTTCTTCTGTTGGTTTCAATTGATTGGGGACAGCTGCTTTAAAATAATTCAGTATAACCTGTTAAACTATGATGTGTCAAAATACAGTTTCTGTATTCACTGATCAAACATGGCAAGCAAGCTTGTCATTATCATAAGGCATCTGCAACTGCAGAATAACAAGTTGTAATTAACTTTTTATTAGCTTTCTGGGTCAGCAATTAGGACATAATGGGTCCTAATTTGTTAAAGTAAACACCAGCATTCAAGGATCTAATATTTCACTAATCAAAAAGCAATGCAATGTCAACTTTATGCAATGTCGTGTGCTGTGGGTCATATTTTTACAGAAGAAATCCATTGTTGCAAGTTGGTGTGCTTTTAATAAAAGATATATTAGGAATGTCTTTCCTGTGCAATAATTTTTCTCATGGTTTAAAGAAGTTTAGACAAAGAATAAATTAAAAAAAACAGCTTCATAACACAATGTGCACTCATGTATGTATTTGTACTATTGAGTAGCGTTTGTTTACAGCATCTTTATAAAGTTATTTTTTAAGATAAAGTAAGTTAGAAGATAAATCACTTTTATTGATCTGTGTTAGAATACTTCATTCATAAAACTTCTCCTTCAAGAAGGCTTGCATTACTGGCCTGTATTCATACTTTTCTGGAAGTCTGCCATATGAACAGTTTCGGCTCATTTAATTGTGACCAGCATTTCTGATCCTTCTGGTCCTGTTTATTTCTGCTTCTGTAACAAACACCATTCTTGTGCCTCCTTTGATTTTAGTGACTGTAGTCTTAACTTTTTATCAGGGTCTTTTTCTTCCTTCCCTATTTCTTTTCCTTCAGCATTTCATTTGGCTACACTCTAGGATCTTCAATACATATCTTTAAACAAAAATTTTGTAAAATACAGGTAAATAGTCTATGACAGTCTGTCCCATCTAAAATGTTAAATAGTCTGTTTCATGTTTTCAAAACAGCACAACACAAGTAAACTATCCTGAGAATTATGTGATATTTCACATCTGAAAGTAGCAAAATAGTTTAATTTTCTTCCAGTCTGCTTGGATAATCCAGCAGTGCATGGTTAATGTATTTTAAATGCAAGTACTTCTAGGAAAGGCAATATAATAAAATGAAGTTTATTGTTTCAGTTTTCCCCAATTCTCATGGGCAAGCTCTCTTGTCCAAGGGGAAATTTAAAATATTTATCTTTTAAAAATGCAAATGGAAGAACATTGTATCTAGCTATAAATAATGTTTCTTATAGTTCTGGAACAGTGAGTGTGATTAGTTTATTGGTTCCAGGTAAAAAATTTAAACAAAGCTTTCTGTGGTAATCCTATTTACTTCATTTTAGTGTTCCATATCCTTGACCCTTTGCAGGAGATACTGATTAGCCAAGTCATACCCTGGAGAGGTAAACAACTCTATCAAAAACCCATATGATAGCAATGTCATATCATTTTGGCTTTCCATTTTCAGAAATGCTTATCTGCCAAAACTAACAGGACTAAACCTGAAAGGAACCAATGGAACCTAAGCCAATAAGTGTCTGTTTCCAAGACCTTACTGCTCTTCTAGGCATTCCATTGCGTCGTCTAGTTGCCTAGGATATACATCTAGGAGCAGAAAGAATACCATTTAGTTGCATTGTCTCGATTTTCTTTTGTATGCATGTAAACGCCATTAAAAAATAGGGTTAATTGTTTTGCTGAAAGATTTAAAACTGCTGAGATTAATTTTCCTCCTTTAGAGAAGATTTTTAAATATGCCATTTTATTAATTTACTAGTTGTTGAGGTCTAGCCTTTGAACCATTGAAGCTTCATAGCCAATGATCATCCAAGTATTCTTTACTTAATAATTTTTTTTTAAAAAGATCAGAGCCTTCCAGATCTTCATATGGTGAAAAGTTATTCCCAATATTTGACATTCTGGACCTGGTTAATTTCGTTTCTTTCAGTAATCCATCTCTATGGCTTTATTGTGCCATAATTTCTGGTTTTATAAAATTAATATCCGCTAGTCCAATCTCCCTTCAATATTGGACTATTAACGTTTATGGTTCTCTTAAGGCTAATTAGGATATATGAATAAATTACTTCATCAATGTACAGCAAGATGGGAATGTTGAGGCCTGAAAGTGAAGGACAATGAAAATCTGGCTTATCTAAGTTAATATAGAAGTCAATAGGTGCCAACGTGCATCCTAGTTTAAACACTTTCAGGATAGATATTTATTTTGAAATAACTTTTTATGGGTTACATTTCACAATGAGTGCTAGCATGGATGAGCAAATATTTATTTAGTATATTTATAAACAAGTTTATATAGCTGTCCCTCTCACTGAAGGTGACTCTGAGAGGAGCACAACAAACAGGTAAAACTACATACAAAATCACAGATATAAAGAATAAAAATCAAATAGAAAATAGCAATAATTATATAACCAGATATACAAAATCTTGGCAAAGATGGAATAAAAACATTGTGTGAGTACAATAGTGGAGTCATCTAAGCATGTCTCTGGTTCCTGGGAGCCTCAAGTCTGTTCAGATAGTCTGGTATTGAGACCCTTTCAGAATATAATATGGATGGAGCCAATCTAATTTTGGAAAGGAATAATGTTTCATAAGGCAGGCACTATAGCAGAGAAGGCACATCTCTGACCCACCAAATGTAGGTCCTTAGCTGATTGTACCTACAGCATAGGCCTCCTGCCACTTGTTTATTGATCAGGGATCGTGAGTCTAGGAAGATCTCCAAGTTGCACATAGGATCTGTATGTGTGTAACACAATCCAGTACCAAAGATGGCATAGTCATTGAAACAATGAGTCCCAAAATCTAGCCATTCACGCTTGCCAAATCACCCAGACCTTCACAGTCTCCAAACATTAGGATAAGACATTCACAGCTTCACTTTATTTGCCAGGGTGGAGATACAGAATTGTGCATCATATGTGTACTGATGATATCTCACCCAGTGGGATGGGTGAGTTCACTCAGCAACCACACATAGATGTTTATGAGGGATAGGACAAAATACCAAACCTTGTGGCATTCCAGAAAGCAGAAGTTGAAGGAGGATCCTCTCCTTCCCAATCATCACTAACTGGAATCAACCCAGAAGGAAAGAGGCAAATCAGCACAACAATATGTCCGTTTACCCCAAATCTTCTGAACTGATCCAGAAGGGTACCATGGTCAATGGTATCAAAAACTGCTAAGGCTTCAAGTAGGCCATGGATACATGAACCTCATCCCATCTAAACTAGAGGTCATTCAAAAATGCAAGCAGTGCTGTTTTTGTCCATACCCAGGTCTTAATCATGACTGAAAGGGATGTAGATAATTCACTTCTTCCAAGGTCTTCTGCTGCACAATTACCTTTCCCCCAAAATAGAGGTGATAGTACTGAATGAAAATTGTCTGGTATGGTAGGGTTCAGCAATTGCTTCTTGAAGAAGGGTAAGAGGTAAAAGAACAATCCCTTCCCTCAAGAATTAATCTTTGCCACAACCCACTCACACTGCACCTTACCTCTGGACCACTTTAACAAGGCAGGACAGGCAGGGATCTAAAGACCTGGGGTGTGGGTGGGTGGGGCAGTGTCTACTCATAGTCCTGTCTACTTCCTCAGGTCCTACACGTTGCTTGTTTATTAAATGTATATGCTATCCATCTTGTCTAGAGGTAATTCTAGGCAGCTTATAACAAAATAAAAGCAGCAAGATAAAACATTAAAAGGTTTTTTTTAAAAAATATTAACATTAAAATTGACTTAGAATTAACAAAGGGGGCAAGAAAGGGAGCAAGATGCACACAGGGCAGAAAAAGTATTCTCTCTATCTATTAACCGCTTCCAAAATAACACACTCTGATCGGGGCCCTGAGGCCAATTTGCAGAGTAAGGTTTTCAGGTCCTTTTAGAAGGTCAAAGGGGTGGGATCAGATTTCACCTCCTGAAGCACAATGTTCCAAAGGGAAGGAGCCACAGTAGAAAAGATCCTTCTCCTAGAACCTGCTAGCCAGAATTCACATTTTACTGGCACGGGTGAGGCGGGCCAATCCCAATTTCATGTAATAAAATGGAACAATAGTGCTTTCTTACTTAATTTCTGGAGGTACTGGCAACGCAGTATATAGATGGATAGACATGGATACTGATACACTCAATCTGAATTCCTTGTAATTAATTCAGTGAGTGCTTTTTCGGTTTTCAGAGAATCAAGAAATTCAGTAGCTTCTGTTACGCTTACTACCGGCCAAATAAAGAGAATGAATCATTGTCCAATTCCTTAGTAGATGCTTCAGGATTGAAGAATGTGCTCAAAAATATCCCGCCCACCTTCATATTGGAATAGCACTTATACTAAATACACCAAAATAGTTCAGTACATCCCAGCACAATGCAGATTATGCTGCCCAAGTCTCTGTCTGGAAATAACATATTGAAGTCTTATTCTTGGTTATGATCCTCCATGATCTCAGCAGAGGTTCAGGCCTTTATTGAAGATTTTCTCTGCAAGTTGATTTTTTTTTAATAGTAAAGTACATAACAAGTCAAATCATAGTACAGTTCAGAAAAAAAGTTGGTGTCTTATATCCATTTTTAGCTTTTAGGATCTGAACTTAACATTTTACGTCACTATTCCAAAATGTTGAATGACTTCATTCCTATTCAATTTTGCAGCACTAAAAAGGGTGCCAAACTTGGTTGTTTGAAATAACACCTGCTCCTTTCCTCAGTTCCAAGCAACACAGACCTGTAGTCCCAAGAGAATAAATCATAGGTGTGGTAGTGGTATTTATTGGGTCATCTCAGAATCTTCAGCATTAAGATACATTTTTACACAGATGGTTGGCTTCAGGTTGACTCAGTTTTTACAAACAACATTTTCAATGCCTACACTTCTTTCTCTACTCTGGATTTCTTTGTAAATTGGGGCAGGTTCAACTTCTGTTCCGTACAATGCCTTCTTTTATAGAAGTGATATTGGGTTCATTATGTTGCTAGATATTCTCACCCAAGGAGTGAATAAAGATAATTGTAGCCATACCTCTTGCATGCTGCTGCTAATTCATAATTTGAATGAAATGTCCTCAAAATCTCATGGCCTTGATTGACCTTTACATGTCAGGCTCTCTCCCCCACCCCCAGTAAATCAGATATTAGAATTAGATGACCAAATTGCACTTTATTATAAGGCTTCAGCACTTAAAAGTCCGATGGTACTGATCTGCCATTCTTTTTACAGCCTGACTAGTTAGATAGGTTCCCTTATGAGCTTTTCTTTGCTCATTATGAGTCATGATGGTGCAGTGGTTAGAATGAAGAAATGCAGCCTACTTCTGCTGGCTGCTGGCTGCAGTTCAGCAGTTCCGTTCTAACCAGGCTCAAGGTTAACTCAGCCTTCCATTTTCCGAGGTGGGTAAAATGAGGACCCAGATGGTTGGGGGCAATGTACCAACTCTGTAAACCGCTTGGAGAGAGCTGTAAAGCATCGTGAAGCGGTGTAAGTGCTATTGCTATGAGGCTATACCAGGGTCCCCAGCCCCCAGGCCGCAGCCCCACTACCCGGCCTTGAGCCATTCAGAAGCGGACCACGGAAGTGGCAGGCTAGTGCGTGCGTGCACAAGTGCAGGCATACACGCTCCATTTGGGCAAACAGGTTTAGGAACTCTGGGCTATACTATGTTTTTTTCTGATTATTTCTTAGACAGTATCTCTTTTCCCATCTCCCAAGTAATTACTATATATCATTACACTAATCTGATTCCTTTCACATTATATATGACTTCAAGTACTGATTTGTCAGGATCTTCGTTATCACTCAAATCTGATCAGATGTTACTTCTTGTTCTCTGCCTCTGACGGATGTATCATAGTAAACACATGCATCTGAATCCACAAAATATTCAAAAATATTTATAATTACAGATAAACAATCTACGGATTTGTGGAGATATCAAAATTACTCTGGAATTATGCAGAGCAGATTTTGACTACCTCTGTGCCATTTCATGAATATGGTTATACCCATCTCAGTATTTTTCAAGACTAGATTTCCTTTAATTTTTGTACATGCTATAATAATAATAATAGAACAGAATTAGAATTAGAATAAAAATAGAACTGGGACTGGGAGAGGAGGAGAGGAAACTAGAAGAATAGAATAGCTTTATTGACATGCAAAGCAACAGAAAAATAATTATATTAATGATACTAATAAGGGAGTAGTAAAAGCTTGGGAAGAATAATAATACTACTGCTGTCATACAACATGGATAAATATACTTAGACATTAAACAGCACTGTGAGAATTAGGTGTTCAGCGGAATAAAGAATGAGGGAAGAAACTATCTCTAGGTCTAGTTGTTTTGGTATGCAATGCCCTATAGCTGGGGGGGGAGAAGCTGAAACAGTTTATATCAAAGATGTGAGAGTCCTGTAGATATTTTATCAGCCCTCCTTCTGACCCGCACAATATACAGGTCTTCTGTGGAAGGCAAACTGGTTGCACTTCTTTTTTCTGGAGTCCTAACTATCTGTTAAGTGTCTGTAATGGGTTAAATGCCGTTATGAGAAAATAAAAAAGCCAGCTACTTGAGAGATACCTTTTTAGTATCTTTTTGTATTGGAATAATGGTTATAGTGAGTTACAATGGGACTTTTCACTAAGTGACTTTGAACTCTTTTTTTCCTGTGTTTTCTCCTCCCAGGAGCCTTGCCTGTACTGTTGTGGAAATGTTAACTGAGAAACCACCCTGGGCAGAATATGAAGCTATGGCAGCCATTTTCAAGATTGCTACACAGCCTACTAACCCCCAGCTTCCTACTCATATATCAGAACCTTGCCGGGACTTCTTAAGGCAGATCTTTGTGGAAGCCAGGAGAAGACCTTCAGCTGAAGAGTTGCTCCAGCATCATTTTGCCCAGCTCTCCTACTGAATTACTGCCTCTGGTTCCATTTTTAGATGATACTGTTGCCTGAAGTGTTGTGGCCTATATCAGAGAGTCCACTCCAAAACGTTGGCAGATGGACATTCTGTTTGCCTAGTAAGACAGCGCGTACAAGGGCAATGCAGAAGTCAGCCAGTTTCATTTTGGTATCTTCATTCTGAGGGATTGATGCTTTCTCTGTCACTACCCATGCGGTGACATGGTATTTGGCATGTGGCTAGGAACAATCTCAAATGCTTCATTTGACTATAGATCCATCTCTGGAACTTGGGGAAATGAAAAAAGATGAAATGGGCTCTGAGAATTGCTAAAAGCTACAAAAATGTGTATTGGGCTCATATTACCACTGTTTGACAGCTTTTCAGGTTGCAGGGTCTTGTTTCTCCTTCTCTTTAGCCCTCTCCTCTATCCATGTTTCTGGATAATGGGAATGGGGAGGAGATTCCCATGGATCAAATGTACAATGGAATCTAGATGGATTAAAGGTTCCCTGAATGAAATAAGGAAATCGAGTTCCCTTCTGGCAGTTGTCTAAAGGTGCAATGCAGAACTGTGTGTTCTGTGTCTATGTAGCAATCACGGGCTAACTCAATTTTTGTCTAGGAAAAAAGAAAATCAGTATTGTGGGGCTTGACACTTTTAACTTCTATTTTTTTAAAGCAGTCTAGGCATTATTGCATTAGACTAGGAATTCATATGGGAGATATTAAGAATTTTTTGAAATTAACAGGGAGCTAAGCAAGGCATGGTGCTCCTTCTATGAATGTCAAAAGTCAGTAAATAAAATGAGGAATGTATATGGAATTTTACATTAATTGCAGAATTTATCCAGATTGTAGAATGTGCCCATTTTATGGATTGTATTGCACAGGATATCATGCAATAAATAGATTGTGGTGAGGACTATTGTGAGGAAGCATGGTATCAGTGTGCTGCCTTTAGATGGCTGTTAGTTGGATAAAATATTTTCCTTCTACACAGTTAAGATATTATGCTACAGTTATAATTGACATGAAAATATCTCAATTACTGTGAAACATTCAGTCTCGTATACCTCCATTCGATAGCTTCATCCATCCAAATCTCTTTCACAGGATAACCTCCCCCCCAAAAGTTTCTAACCAAAGATTATTTCATTGCTGCCAAGATCAGTCTTCAAGGAGAAGCAAGGTATTACTGCTAAGCCTAGACAGGATTGTTCATACTGAACAGAACTACCTTTTCCAGGTGCTTGTAATGGAAAAATTGGGGCAAGGAGAAGTGATATTACTCATCTGTCTTTATTCATTCTGGGTTTTCTGCATGCTTTTCTGGTCTTTAGAAGAATAGCTTCTAAAGTTTGAGACCATGTTTTCCCATAGTTCTGCAGAGCTGAAGTTTGTTAATCTTGATTATTTTCTAAGAAACTTTGTTTTTTTTTTAAGAGGCACTTCTATCAGATTTAATTGAGTACAATCAGAGAGCAAACTTCTTGATCTCTCAAATGTTTGGTTGCCAACAGCATACCTTTATTATATAAAATGTTGGATTAGAACCACTCAGACAGGACCTCTATGAGATCTAGGAGTATCTCCATTATTCATTATGTAGCAAATCATGTACACTCCAGGAGCGTTTAAAAGGATTCTGCTTTGCAAACAGCATTCTGCCACTTGTGATACTTCAGGTGTTTGCTGTTAACCTTGCAGAGATATATATATTAATCTACCCTTGCTCTAGCCACCCATTTGTCAAGTGTTTGCACCTCTGCAAAACTGAGATTCAGTCTCATCTGTCACTTTATACAAAGTTGCATGTGGTGGTTTGTAACAAGATTGCAACCCACCTACCAGTCTCAGATGTTAAAGTGGGTGGGGGGAGCAGTGCTTTCATTCAATTTGCAGGACTTCTTTTAAGGCAGAATTGCAATTGATATGCAGGTAAAAGCAGTTCTTTTCTGCTGTCTCCAGTCTTGTAGTTGTGCCAAAAGGCCAGACCAAGTATCTTCTTGTACTCAAATTTTCTGTCATATTTGCTTAAGAATGTCTATGGCTTTATAACAAATAAAGTTATATAAGTTACATAAGTATCTGTATGGATCTAAAAATGCTACCGTGATTTCCTTTTTTAGTTCATTTGCCAACATGTCTGTAGGTCTTGGTTTGTAAAACACAAATACTCTTTTTCAAGACAACAACGTTGAGTTATGGTGTTTCCTTTGATTTCAGCAAATAACCAGCAACAGAGTTGGTCCCTCATCTTTGAGAATATGATATGTTGCCTTGGCTCCTCACTGGGTGGATAAGCATAATAAGCCAAAGCATTATTCATATGGTCAGCAGTGCACTTTTATAAATATATTTATATCACTTTCTTATTAAGCATTTTACTTCATGTAAAGAAATTATGATGTCTCATACTTTTTATTTATGCCATACCTGTTTATGTTTATATATGTGTACAGCAATTATTATGGAATGGGGAGGGAGAAATTGACATCTTTGTGAATTTTTAAAAGGGGGAAAAAAGCAGCTGGTTTTGCAAAGATTTTGATTACTGTTTATTACAAGATGTATCAGGTCAAAATGCCTTTTTGTTTCCTTGCTAAAAAAAATTTGGGGGGGGTGGGGTAAGTGAAACAGAATAACAATATAGAAATGGCAATTTGGAATAATAGAAAGCCGCAAATTAGATATATTAGAGACCATCAGTCTCGTGTGTTACTGTTGATATAACACACAAAGTCTTCTTCGAACTTATTGCAATTGCTTCACAAAACAACAGTGAGGTTGCACAGTCCTAGTGTAACCTCATTTTAAAATAGATTTCACATATTGGTCTCACAACTTTTTAATGTCTGCATATCTGTTGCATTTAAATTTCTATTTTAAACTCTGTGTGTGTGTGTGTGTAAAATAAATAGCATACTGATAATCTGAGAAAGAAGGCCATGATGTAGGAAACAGTCTTTGCAATATCTGAAATGTTAACATTGATATACTGCTACTCAGTGCAATAAATTTGTCCTTCTAGATAATATTCACTGGAGTTCTACAACATCTAATAATTCAGGAATGCTTACTTCCAGATAAATGCATAAAAAATTTTAGCCTTAAAAATGTCCCTTTTCTTTTATAATTTATCTTTTATGCCAACTATTTCCAGACTTTCATTATTTTTGCTTTATAAAAGGCCCCTTAGGAATTTCTCTTGTGAACGCTTTATGACCTCCTGAGGAATACATCATGCAGATTTGCTTTTGGAAGTTTCTGATTCTCATCAGTGCAAATGAGAGAGTGAGAGGAAAAGGATATTTGCAAATTCTCTCATAGAACTGTAATTATAAGCAAGGAAACAAAAATGGGTTTAGGCTTGGTACGACGATTCTGTATACTCCAGCTTCACCAGCCACTTTTCTGCTAAACAGCATACATTTAAAATACCGTTTGTCTAGAAGCTATTCCCTTAAGACATGTATCTTATTACCTTTCCTGAATTGCCTCATATATGTGGGCAACTTTAGTATATGATTTGGAAGGTTCACAGATGGCAAAAAAATATAGATTGCGTTGTTTGGAGGCAAATTTCTTTAAGATTTCACAGCTAGTCTGAGATCCTCTTCACATCAAATCTTTGGATTTATATTTTTGAATGTGATGGTATGTCTGACTTCAACCAAATTTACCCAGGAAATTACTGAGATTGGGTAATTAAGTTTGCAGCCTTCTGTATATTTTAACACTGCCAGTGCTAGAACAAATATTTTAATTTAATGAAACTCAAAAAAAGAGCTTTGAAGAACATTCTGTGATTTATCATTTGGACCTGGAGTATACAGAAGACCTTGAAGTACTTGTCTGTTTCTAATTTTTATGAATTTCTATGATAACTGAGGCTTGCAGTGCAAAGCCAGGCCAATGTGTAACTTTTATTTACAATAAAATATAATTTTCAGCTAATTATGTGTGCTACTACATCTTGTATTATTGGAGGCTGCTTGAATATCCAAGTGCTCAGTAGCTCTATTCTGCAAAAAACATACTATGAATTCTCAAAATAGCCATACTATCATAGTGTGATTGTGAAAATTGTCTCACACTTTTTAAAATTCAATAAGTTATTTCATCAGATGTTCTTTTTGAAATCCACAACCAGGGAAATGAAGCATTCCTATGTGGTTTTGACTTGTGGGATTCGTTTAAATGTGAGAAAGGTATACTTAGCACTTTTAAAGTTGCTCATCATCTGTCATAGCCTGCTAAGCACATTTTTCGGTATATTCTCGAATGTAGGCACCAAACACTATATCTTTTATTAAGGAAGATATGTTTTAAAGCTGCTGAACATGCCATCTGACATGCTTTATATGAATTGTGTGTGGACCACAGCTTTTCTTCTAGCCAGTGATATTAAACTCCTGTTTTTTTAATGCATACAATGATGACCGGATTGTTCTCCCAGGCAGAACATGTTTCTTGTTCTTGTTTCAAGAAATCTGTTGGAAACTGAAGTAGAACATTTGCACATTTTCATCTCTCAAAACTTTCATAAATGACATCAAAGAAGAAAAGCTCAGAAAACCTATATTACAAAAATAAGACAGTGCAGCTCTGGACACAAACACCACAAATGTACTTCAGCTTATCACGTACCACTGAAAAGGCAGATATAAAAGATAGACACTGAATTCTTCCCCAGAGTTTAAGGCTGAATGGATAGAACATAGCTGATGAGAACTAGGATGCAAGGTCTGCAGTCCCCTTTCAGACTTAAGTTCCTCATGGTTTTGGACTAATAACACATGCTTCTGTAACTGCTAAAACCAATTCTAACCCCACAACTTTTAATGTCCAGGGGTGTCTTTTATATGCCTCCTTGAAATTCCAAAAGTTGTATTTTCTATTTCGTTGTTTAGAATTTCTAAAGCTTGAATATTTGCATCTTTACTTTACCCTAGACATGTAAGGGGTCTGCAGCAGAAGCACACAGCCTCCCCATAAGAAAGAAGATAACAGGCTACAATCAGGATTCTAAGTAAATGCACAGTCAGAATTCAACATGTTGCCTATTTGCACAATTTGTTTATCCAAATGGCCAGATATTGGGAATAGGTAATGCTCCATCTTCAAAACTGGATATAAAAAGAGTATCTAAGAATTGGTTAAAGCCTGTTGGAAAATTTTCTTTTAGTCGAACTTCAAGAGTAAGGAAAGCAACACCCAGGTCAACCTATTAGGATACTGATTGCTAAAAGGGAGACTGGTTGTATTTTAACGTATTATATGGAATAAAGTTTAGTCATAGACTTTTGACTTAAGGAGATGTACAGTATGAAATATCATATTTACAGCTTGTCTAGTCAAACTGTTTAGCTACAATCCTAACTAATTCCATTACTAGTATGGCCTGATCCTCTTTATAGCATTAGTATTCCTGCTTTTCCATGAATAAAGCAAAATTTCCCATTTATCAACATGTCTGTGTAGTTTTTTGGATGCTTAGTTCTTTCCACAGTCCATTAAATCTATGGTTCATTCCTACTTAGTCTTTCCTGCTCCTAGCCATCTTGCAATTACCCCTGCTCTCCATCAGCTCAGTTCATCCCCATATCAAAGATCTCAAAGTGGGGAACTATAGGCTATGGGTCATGCTGTATCTGTACCATTCTCCACCTCTTTCTGCAGCCACAGTTGCTTGTGCTGCTTGCGTCCAAAACCTTCGTCATAGTTGCCTTTGCTCTTGAACAGCTGCTGGTAATGTGGCTTGCAGTAGAATTCCCCATGGAGAGCTGCATAACTACCCAAGCTGAATAGAAATAAGAATGAGTTAGGGTTTACTACAAAAGGTCTGAAAAATGGAAGAAAACTAATATAATGGCAGTTAAACTATGAAAATGAAACTTACAAGTCTATTGCTGCGCCCTTCCTGAGAATTTACAACATAACATCTTTCAGATTTTGCCATCATATGTACTAATAAGAGCATGAGATCTCACCCCACAGAGGAAGTATAATTATTGTACTATTAATTCAGGAAAAAGAGCTGCAAAGTCGTTTAAATGTTTAAATGCCATAAGTGCTTATATTTCTCCATGTCAGAATGCAGAAAGAAACCTAATTTAGTACTGTTTTTTCCACAATTCCTACTAAGCTTAGTAAAGACTTGTTTGATGTAAGCTCAATGTCCAAATGATTTTCTTGGCAAAGCACAGAATTATTTTGCCATTACTTTTTTCTGAGATAATTTTCAACTTCAGTTTACCTTCAGGTACAAAGCATGCCCAACTCTGCTTAACTTTTTCAAGATCAGCTGAGATCCTCTGCAAGTGGATTTTTTTTTTCTTAGAGTGGAGTCTTCTGTTTCATTTGTTTTAATAGCAGACTGAGAAAATATTAATGCCTTTCTCCCTGTGCTTTAAATGTTAAAAAGTGTCTAAAGCTGAAAAATTGGGACCTTAAGGAACTTCGATATGATTGCCCTTCAAGGGGAAAAAATACTGCTCTGATTCAAGCCAACCATATTTTTCACAGTCTGGGTAACATTCAGTACATGGTACAGAGGCTGAGGAAAAAATATGAGATGTCATATCAAAACAATCTGTTCCCAGTTCTTTATTAGGCTGCTAAATGAGGTGGAGGGAATTATAATTAATGGTGGCTATTGGGAATGATAAGAGTCAACAACCAGGAGATTGACCCACATATTCCCTTTACACTGCTCCCACACACAAAGCAAAATAGAAAAGTTTATCACTTTTCCCTTACCTTAGCTTGGTGTGGCAATGCTTACAGCAAAAGCAGTAGTTATGGAAGACAAATTTATCAGCCACCAGGCGCTCCATAGGATAGACAGTTTTCTGGCAGGCATTGCATGTCTCTTTCACCTGGGCCTTCAGGCTGAATGACTGGATGACAAGAGTAAAAGGTGATGTGGGTGAAAGTAAGTTCCAGGAGAGGAGGCAGCAAGGGAAAAGGAACAATGTACAATTACCAGTGATTTAATTGTGAAGATACAATTTCAAAGCAGTCTGAATACAGCATACTTGACTTGTATGCCAAACTTCAGTTATGTTCAGCTAATAGTAAATAAAAGCAGTCTTAAGAGGCACCCTGGTTTAATATTAAGTATTTTAATAGCTGAAATAAGTAGTTTATGGAGAATGTTCCAAATCTAAAAGTACAGGAAGCTGGAATTCAGAATGAAATATTTAATAATAGCAATAGCACATGGACTTATATACCATTCTGCAATGCTTTACAGCACTCTCTGAGTGGTTTATAGAGTCAGCATATTGCCCCCAACAATCATTTTACTCTCACCTCAGGTGGATGGAAACCTGAGTCAACCTCAAGATCGAACTCCTGGCAGTGGACAGAGTCAGCCTGAAATACTGCATTCCAACCACTGCGCCACAAATATTTATTTAGTAGAAACCAAAATGCTGTTGAAAATCATTGCAAAGGACTTATCACAAGCACAATCCTCAATCATAATTTTTACACCTTTTTTTTCATTTTAAAACACACATGGAAATCCATATTCTGAATTCAACTGGCATTTAGGGAAGATATTTTTAAAATACATCTAAAAAGAGAGCTTTAATTTTCAAAACAGGCTTAAAAATAATAAAGAGAATGATTACAAACTCTGCTTTAAATGTTGTTTCTGTCTGAGGGTGAATTATTTTATTGCTGTTTTCATATATTCTACAAATACGTTGAACAGTAGGATACAAGAATGTGATCTGAAAAGATGATAGGCATTACCTTTGACAGTTCTGCTCATTTTGATAGGCACATCAATTCTGAGCCTTTTAGGATCAGGATGGCTTACTAACAGTGATTACACACAGTATGTCTTACATGGTGCTGTCTGTCCTTAAAGAGGGGTTAGAATGAGAAACTGCAGTTAACAGCAATCTTCTCACTTGTATTTTGACTCAAGCAAAACTCTGGTTATTTCATTAATATCTGTGCTTATTTAAGTATTTCAATTTATTATTAAACAAAAAGCTAGAAAGAACAATTTCATTAATACACTGAATGTCCAAGAGCCAAATGCAGTATTCCTCAACCTTGACACTTTAAGGTGTATGGACTTCATATTGTATTTCAGAGTTCCCAGAGCATGAAGTCTCATTCCAGAATGCTGACTGGAGAATAGTGGCAGTTGAAGTCCACACATCTTAAAATTGCTAAAATTGAGAAACACTTTTGTAATAGAACTACTTGGCTTCCACGTAGGATTTCTTGAAGCCAAGGTGGACAGATTATCTGAGGCCTTAGTTGTGGTCACAGAATATGTAGAGGATAGTAGCTTTTTGTGTATCTGAGCAACTTCTGTTTACCGATTCAAAATATTTTCTTTTTCTTTTGTAATTTTATTTATGGTTTTTTTCTTTAACATCCATAAGTGCTTAGTGAACAATGTATTGTTTGGGTCGATATACTTTATATACAATACTAATAATGGTACTGTTTAAATATACATAATCATCATCTTTCAACTTCTAATATTTGTGTATATATTATAGTTATAATATACTCTATTATATATCAATATATATAATACTGTTTTCCAAATTTTTACTTTCTACATCTTTATTCTAACTCTTAAAAAAATAGCCACCATATTAAGAAGTATTCTATATCTATCCATCATCTCTTGTTTTTTTGGGAATTTCAACTCTTACTGACTTTTTGGTAAATCTTTCATGTTTTTCCCTTGGGGTATTTTCTTACTTCACACTTATTTAATCTAAGTATTTCATCTACTTCCTTGCTGTTGAATCTCTAGAGCACCCATCTATAATTCTTTAATCACTTTTGGGAGATCTTTCTCTTCATTCCCTTCTATATTTTGAGTTCTTAAAAAGTAATCTATCTGTTCCATTTTAAGAATTATTACTATTTCTTCCATATCTTTATCTACTTGTGTTATTTTTGATTTATCTCTATTTTTTCCTCAGCGCCTTCTGATTTCTCCTCTATTTTCTGAATTTTTTGTTCATATTTTATTATCATTTGCTGGGGGTTTTCTAGTCTCACATCTGTAGCCTGCATCAGTTCCATCATCTCTCTATGATTCCCTGTCATATCTTCCTGAACACATTGAAACATCAATAATATTTCTTTATGAACTGTGATTGTTTTCCCATTGAAACATTTTGTAATGATTTAATTTACTCAAGATTCCACCAAGATTCCAGTACCCCAATTGCCCAAAAACATCAAAACTGCCAGTATTAATAAAGTTTAAATAGAATAGAACAGAACAGAACAGAACAGAACAGAACAGAATAGAATAGAATAGAATAGAATTCTTTATTGGCCAAATGTGATTGGACACACAAGGAATTTGTCTTTGGGGCATATACTTTCAGTGTACATAAGAAAAAATAAAACACATTCATCAAGAATCATAAGGTACAACACTTAGTGATAGTCATAGGTTACTATAAGCAGTCAAATCATACATAGGTTACTAATACGCTATCAAAACATACTAGGAAAATGAGAGGGCGGAGCTGGCATCGCGACGATACGGCATGTGATCTTGGAGGTCTGAGATCGCTGCCGATATCTTTGCTCCTGGACAGTCCAATTGGATCTAAACCGTCCCAAAGAGACGGTGAATGCAAAGAGCACATCCTGTCTATCCCAGGATACCACAAAGTTCCTGGTAGATCCAGGAGAAGCTCTTTTTGCCAGTGACAAAGAGGCAATCATTAAAGCTGCTGAAGTTGGGACAGCTCTGAAATGGAAGAGAATAAAAAGAGAGAGTGTGCCAGTTTGGTGAGAACTTTTGCTTTACTTTAAGATTTGAAAGGACACCCTAAGGAAAAGATTCTGTAAAAGTTTTGACAGAAGTGATTAAGCGGCAATTTTAAACAGGAATGTCAAAGTAATTTTTTTTTCTCATTGCTGGATTTTCTGCACCTGATTTTATATTTTCAAACTGGACTGGTTTTTTTTTCTTCTTTCACCTATTCTTTCTTTCCTTTTGACTTTATAATATTCTAGGCCAGAGACTCCCTTTTAGTCATCTTTTAAAATATCTTTTCAAATATCTTTGGAGAAGATTCAACAAATGATGATGAAGTATGATGAGAGATTCCAAAAAATTGAAGAAGAAGACAAACAAAGAGATAAGAAGATTGGGGATACTGAAAGCAGATTAACTGTAGTTGAACAAGATAAAAGTGGGATGCTGAGATGGGAGATGGACAGATCAGAATTTTATCTCAGATTCCAAAACATAGAGGAAGAAAAGGGACAAAACCTAGCTGAGATAATGATAGAAATTTTGGCTGAAGCTTTGGAAATTACTAAAGAGAAGATGATGGATGGAATAGATGAGGTTTATCGAGTCTTCACTAGATATGCAATGAGAAATAGCCTACCAAGAGAAGTTCACATCAGATTTACAAAGAAAGCCATTAAAATGGAAATATTGCAAGTGGCAAGAGAGAAAACATTGAAATATAAAGACAAGGAGATTGTGATCCTGAAACAAGTACCCAGAAAAGTGTGAGAGATGAAGAGAACACTGATTTCTGACCAAAATGCTACTTTAAAAAGAGGTGAATTATAGATGGCTGATTCCAGAAGGTTTAATGTTCACATGGCAAGAACAGAGACATAGAATTGACTCAATTGAGAAAGCTGAATCATTTTACACATGATTTTTTGGAGGGAAAGAGGAAGAGGCAGAAAAAGAAATCTCACTAATTGAATTCCAAGAGGACTGCCAAATGGTGACTGAAAAAGAAGAAGGTGCAGTAGGTGGAAAGGTGGAAGCCAAAGAACAATGTGAACCAAGATCTACGAGAGCTGCTAAACCTAACTACAAAATATAACCATGGAAGAGACAAAACTGATTACAATTAATATAAATGGACTTAACTCAGCTGTTAAAAGAAGGAAAACTTTCCATAAATTTGAGAAATTAAAATTTGATATAATCTGCCTACAAGAAATACATATCAAAAAGTAATATGAACAATTGTTGATACAGCCAAAATTAGGGAAAATATTTACTTCTTTGACACAATGCAAGAAAAGAGAAGTGGTTTTATACATTGAAGATATTATCCCAGCGAAATTGATCTATACTGATGACGATGGAAGAATACTAATGGTGGAAATAATGGACAATAATATGAAAGCACTCCTGATTGCAATCTATGCCCCGAATGACAATCAAGAAGAATTTTATAAAAAATTACATATGAAAATAATTGAACCGGACTATGCTAATATAGTTATGATGGGAGATTTTAATGGAATTGTAGATAATAAACTGGACTATACAGCACAGAAAAAAACAAAGCAATACAGAAAGATTCTCCCTAAATCTTCTTTTAAAATGGTAGATGAAATAAACTTAAAAGATACATGGAGAGAAAGAAATGCTAAAACTAAACAATACACCTTCTACTCAAATAGAAATTTATCATGGTCCAGAATAGATATGATATGGATGTCAACAGAATTGTTAGCTAATATTCAAGAAATAAATATTGAAACAAGTACTTGGGTAGATCACAATCCAATGACAATTAAATGGAAAGGACAAAGAAGAAGATCTAGATAGACGTTAAATAACACTATACTAAAAGAAAAAGACTTCATACAGAGAATGGAGAAAGAACTGGTTTTCTTCTTTAGAGAACACAAAAAAGAAGATACATCAATCCAGAATGTATGGGATACAATGAAGGCATATGCCAGAGGCTTGATAATAGACTATACAAGGAAAAGAAATACTAAGAAAAGACTAGCCTCTAAGGCATTAGAAGATGAGTATAAGGACTTGGAAAAGAGCTACAGAAAATGCCACAGAAAAAGGACATTAAGTTAAAAATGGATATAATTAAACAAAAAGTGGGTCTAATAGAAAAAG